TCAGTTTCTTTGTATTATTTGCTCTGGTGACTACGAAAGGCCACCCACTAGCTTCATGAAGCTCCAGCCACCGCAGGTGTAGGGATTAGGACCGGTCAGCCTGTCAGTTGAATGAATGTCTTTTGAGACTGCCTGTTTAAACGTGTAGCCATCTGTTAAAGGGTCTCACCAAGATTTTAAATGAGGTGCCAGATCTATTATGTGGTGGTTACTTCTTTTAAAGCTATATTCCTACTAGGAATTCTAGATTTTTTTTAATTTGTTTTTTATGTTATTGAAATATTGGGTTGTCAGAAAAGTCATGATGCATTTTGGCATAAACAAACAGAAAAATACTTTATAACTTTTTCAACAAGCCAATAAATTAAGATATTGAAATGATGTTAACATGGGTTTGGTATCTCTGCAGTTTATTTGTTGAGACTTTTTCCTTTGGTATTATGTTGTTTGTTTTTTTGTTTTGTTTTTTTTTTTGGAGAGGTTTTCGCTATAGGGCGCATGCGCTCGCCAGACAGACAGAGAGAGACATAGAGACAGAAAGCGAGAAATCACCCCCCAGGGGGGATGGTCACGCCGCAATCCCTTCTCCTCCATTCTCCTCTCGGGATCTTGGGCACGCACGCACACGCGCCCGGCGTGAGATTTAAGCCACCGGGTCCGAGACGCGAACCGCGGTCGACTACGTGGGAGTCCAGCGACATAGTCATTACGCTAACTGCTGGTTCCCTATGTTGCTTGTTTTGAAGAGACATAGTTAAATGAACAGATTCCTTAATCAGAAATGTAAGAACTGGGGCAAGCAGGTAGCATGGTGTTTGGGGCTGTTGGACTCCCATATGACTGACCACGGTTCGAGTCCCACACCTGGTGTCTTGCTTTCTCACTCCCCCCCCCCACACTTCTCTCCTGCTCTGTCCCCTTCTTATTAAATGTAAATAAATGAATAAATAAATAAAGTTGAATAATATAATTCTTTAAAAAAATATAAAAACTAACGTAATCACCAGGATACTTAGTGGACAGGGAAAGTACATTAATAATAATCATAAAGCTATGGAAAAGTGATCAGTCTTAGGAAACACATCAATGCCCTTTATACACACGGATAACGTCAGTGTAACTTTGGTCGCCAAAGAAACCTTAAAAATATCCAAAATTATTAGTTGTGACATGTAATAAGATACTGACAAAGATAGCTTGATAAATTGAGTTTATGTTTTCTATAGATCCAAGCTTTGACCATAGAAATCTGATTTATATGCTGTCCTTCTGTTGTCATTACTCATGTTCCTTTTGGTCCCTTCATTTGCTATTTCCCAGTTTCTTACCACAATACCAAAACGTGGATATTGAAATAAAAGGGAATGATCCACAAGTTAGCTCATTTTACTATTAATTTCCACTGCTAGAAACGTGAGATTTCTAGGTTGTGAGGGCAGCTGTCCACACGCAAATTGTGTTGGTGACAGTCAAGTGTCAGTTTCCCAGACCTCGCTGCCCACACACGCGATGCATGGCTTCCTAGTTGTGGGCAGTGCAGCACTGTCCCACTGAGAGAGGAAGGCTTCCCCTTACGCACTCAGCAGCTACGTTGTCATTTGACCTGGCTGGCACAAGGACCGTGCATCTGGGTATTTATTTTTCTTCCTTAACCAGCTTGTTTTCTCGGACGCCAAACCCAATAGTTCAGGTCTGTTACTCTGAGCTTACAAGGCTGCCTGTGAGTAACTAAAGATACAGGTTACATTTTGAAATGTTGGAGTGTTTGGAGAAATAAGCTGCAGCTTTCAGTCACAAGAGTTCAGTGTTTGCTCTTGGTGGTGAAGCAATCTCTATTTTTTTCCCCATCAATAAATCATAGAAATATTTTCTCCTGAAATGAGATGACTAAAGAATTAGGATGCTAGTATATATTTAAGGGAATGATGAGACAGAGCAAGAGGCAATTATCTCGTGGAATTACCGCCACTCATTCTTGGGGCAAGCATGAGCAAGTAAACAAAGCGGACGTCCCCCTGAACGGTCTGTCGCTCTGCAGAGCGGAGAGTGGGAGTCGTGTGTTGAGGTCTGTGTGCTCTGGTTTTAGGAGGCCACTCGGTCGGCGGCTAGACTGCCACTGTTAGGATGATGAGCCGGAAGGCTGCACATGGAGTGGATAATGCTTGCTGAAAATTATGAGGACTTGGTAACTTTCCAAATTACTAAGTCCTAGGTAAAGTTGGGTGGAAGCGTAATATACTAATACATTTCATGCCTAAGTCAATAAACTGAAAGAATGAATAAAAATTTTAAGAAATTAAGAAGCAAAAGGAAAATCAAAATATGATCAGTGGCCTTTATCAGCATCAGTGTTCTGGTGATATTCTATCTATTGGATGGTTGGGAAAGTCGTGATGCATTTTCTTCTATGCAAAAATGCACCTTGACTTTTCTGATGAACCAATCGCTTTACAAAAAGACTACCATTTTATAAAGAGAAATTAGGTAAAGTATACACAGAATCGCTCCATATTGTTTCTAAAAATTGTGTATTAATTTACAATGATTTCAATATTTCCATTAAAAAAAAAGAGTGGGTTAACAGGTAACCAGGTGGTTAAGGCAATGGACTCCTACATGGGCAACCAAGGTTCAAGCCCCAGACCTGACAGCTTGAAAATCACACCGGTGCATGTGCGTGCGTGCCCAAGATCCCAAGAGGAGACTGGAGGAGAAGGGATTACGGCATGGCCATTCCACTAGGGGGTAATTTCGCACTTTCCTCTGTCTCTGGCCAGAAAGAGAGTACATGGTCCCTATGGCAAAAAATCTAAAAAAAAAAAGAAGAATGAAAAGAAAAGTTTTAACTCCTGATAGGAGAAAAGCATAAAGTTCACGTTATTTGGATTCTACTATCCCTTTTGAAAGCACTAAAATGTTTCTGAATCATTGAGGAAAACAAGTAAGACTATTGTTGGAGAATCTAGTCACCCTTGTTTTCTAAAGGCAAGTTGATGCTGTATCCAGTAGAGAAATTCATATTGAAAATGGGTTCAGATATGGGCTAGACTGGTGTTTCCTAATAGCAAGAAAGCATGACTTTACGCATCTGCACTGATTTACTAACACCCCGAGTACTCTTACATAGGTTTCTGTCTAATGACATTTCAAGTTAATAATGACCTTACCATGGGTGTCGTACCATATCTGTGTTGCTAGTGATGCTACTTTCATAAGTTTATGTATTTTTTCTAGATACTGCTATGTGGTTTTAACTGCATATAATAGCATATGTAAACAGTATTACTTAAGTTGTAGGTTGACAAAGCTGAATCAATATTTTGTGTTCAATTGAATGCATCATTAATAAGAACTACTTCAGGGACTTATTGTTATCTTTCAAGAAAAATATACCCAAAAGACTGTATGAGTAAAGATGTCAGCTAATTCTGTGATATGTATTGTGGCATGAGAGGTAATGTAAACATTTTTGTTCTCTACAATACTTACATAAAAATATCAACCAACTAATCAATGGATGCAGGACAGATTTGAGCAGTCTGTCACTTCCCAAATTGCAAATATGTTTCATTTCAGTAAATACATAATGTTATTCAAATTCTTCTTTTGCTTATATAGTTGAACTACAAAATATTAATTTCTTTTCACAGCCTTGCCTGATGCTATAAAGAAAATTCTATTTTACAGAAATAGTCATTGATCTTTGATTGACTTCACACACACACAGATATATTTTTACACACCCAGCTCATCTATATGCTAATCCAGTTCTTGGTTTTGAAAATAAAAGTCTTTTAATGCTTCACACATTTACCTTCCTGTTACATAAGGTTAGATCAGAAGAGTTTATCTTTGGGGCAGCAGGTGGCTTGGTGATTAAAAGCACTGGATTTCCACATAGTTGACTGCAGTTTGAGTCCTGGACCTGGTGGCTTGCTTTCTTCCTTTCCCTTTCTCTCTTTCTCTGTCTTCTTCTGGTCAAATTTAAAAATTACATTAATAAATAGAATTAAATAAATCATTATTTTTTAAAAAAAGAAGTTTATCTTTGTCTTTTATCCCCATTAAGTATAATTTTCCAAGCAAGAATGGAAATATGTACAATGTCTATGATAGTTGGCAATTTAAGAACAAACATTACTAATGATTTAGACTGAAATGTAAGTAAATGGACATATGAAGGTACACAGTATGTTCATAGTATTTTATAACGACCTAGAAGTTGCTAAATTCTGCATTAAAAGGCAGAAACCGTCATATCTGTTTAAGTTTTAAGTTAATTACTTGGTAGTTACCCACTTTGTGCTTAGAGAAAAGATGATATATGGAAAAAGTTTGGTCCGCATATTTTTGTTTCAAGATAAATTGTTATGTATTTCTGAAATATTTTAAACATTTCCTTCTCTATCCTTACGCGTTCCTGCGTTGTACCTCTGGCAAGTACAAGCCATCCTCCCTGATCTCATTATCATTCAGAGAAACTTAGACTGAGATATGTTTCGTTCTGTAATTTGAAAGAAACCATCTATTGAATGATCATAATTTGAAGATCTTTTCAAAACAGTTTCTTTAAGAGTTTCAAGTCAGTGTTTCCTACACCTTCACATGTGCACAAACCACCGCGAGCCTGGAAGGTGCAGGTTCTGGTCTGTGTGGGTCTGAGACTGCATCCCTCAGCAGTCCCCAGGTTGCGGTTCCACAGCCCCCCCTGAGTTGCCCTGTTCTACAGGCTGAGGGCGCGTCTGGAACCCGAGGAGCTGAAACGTGGAGGAGCGAGCCCATCAATACAGCTGAGCTCCCCTCTTGATTCTGTATTTAAAATGTCAAGCAAATGATCTGCATTTCTCGCGTCCATTGGAGTTTCTTTCTCCCCAGCCCCAGCATGAAGACACGGAATATTAGTCCATTCGAGCATATGACTGTACATATTATCATCTACAGATCATTTTCCACTGGAGTTCCTGCTCGATTTATTTTCCATTCTAATGCATTTCGTTTAGCTCTTTTGACAGTAAGTTTGTTTACCAGCAAAGAGGACTTGGACCGATTGAAGAAGACACCATTCTTGTCGTAGATCCAAAAACTGCTGCCGTGCTTCAGTCCAGTGGGAAAAACCTGTGAGTTAACGGTTTCTCTTGCTATTAACGCTTGTACGGTTAAACTGGGTATAAAGCGTTTCGGGGGTCTGCAAAGCGTGCATCGCACGGCTGTGTGGAAGGAAGCGAGAGGTTCGCTGAGCTGTCCCATCTTTCATTTTCTGTATGGTTGCTTCTAAACCTCGATTTAATATTCAAATCACCTGGGAAGCTTCCAAAAAATTAAATTTATAACTGTTAGTCATTTATATATCTTTTTGAGGAAGATTTCTATTCAGGTTTTGGCCCATTTCAAAATTCTTAAGAGAGTAAATTTTAGATGTTTTCACCACAGAAAATGGTGTCTGAGGTGATAGATAAGCTAACTGGCTCGATTTAATCATCCCACATTATATCCATCACTGTAACATCATATCGTAACCCTTAATGTATATAGTTATAATTTGTGGATTTACAGTGCTACAGATCAGATTCAGATTGGGTTTAGGAGGAGAGAACGACCATAAAGCTCCCCAGGTGATTCCAACATGTAATCAAGCTTGAGTCGCTGACATGAACCATTAATGAGGTGGGCTGGTCAGCTCAGTTGTAGATTTGATGATAAAAAAAAAGTTTCAGTAGACTCGTTATATAACCAAAAACCTTAAGTCACCACCATTATGGAAGGGTTTCTCTCTTCCCATCTCGAAGTGAAGATTAAACAAATGTTCTTTCTTGCCCTCCTTAGCACGCATGTGTGATTTGGCTTTGTAAGCCCCTGACTATCTGGTCTTATTCCTAGATGGCATTTGGCAGTCAAAAGTAGTTGGCTGGTACTCTTGGTCATTGAAAGGAAGGGGCACCTGCTTGCAGAGTCGCCTCAACCGTTGTACTCTGGCAACTTCAGGAACTATTTCTGCCCCAGCTGCTCTGGCACAGCAAAGGCCAGCTTCTTGGAAAGGCAGAGAGCCACTGCTTTGAACACAGCGGCTATGGCAATGGTGATCGTGGTGCTTAGATTTCTTTCCAGGCATCTCAGAGGATGAGTCAGGGGCCGGATTCTAATGCCAGCCCCACCACTGTGCATTTGAACCTTTGTCTTGGTGCCGTATCCATTATTCGGAAATGCTCTTATTCCAAAAAGGAATTAAAAGGGAAGGTGGAGCGACGGCAGCTAAATCAACTTGGCCACGAGTAGAGTGTCTCCGTTGAGAACAAATCGTAACCTCTCACACCCAGTCACCAAAATAAGGACCTAATTCAGTTCATGAACCAAGATCAGAGTGTTAAGGTGTTGGCTCATGAAAAAATAAAATAAAATCTAGGGGCCAATACCTTACAAAGACTAGAAGCTGACAGAGCTATTGGACTGTCAGATGTCATTCTGTCAAAATCACCTTAATATATTTTCTATGTGCGTTTTATAAACTCTGCCCGAGTTTCTTGAGCCCTTGGGCCTGTATGACCAAGTTAGGCGGATTGATTGGTTAGAAAGGTCAGCCCTCTCTGACGCTGTCCAGCTCACCCTTCACTCAGCCTGCATGCTCAGAGCCCAGGTGTGCTGAAATTCGCTTTCTTTGGACTTTACTCTCTGTAGTAGGCATTCTTAAAGCTTTCTGAGCCACATATTTTATATTAATAACCTTACCTTGTCATAAATGTTAATTTTTGAGTCTTATAAATCTATGTATATTTTTGCAGGCGATATGTCTTATATGTATTTCTAAGCTGATAATACTTAGGAACTTAGATACTTTTAAATTGGTATTATCTGTGTTGATTAATACACATTTTATAATAAATATTGCGATTTATAGGTAGGTATCATTTATAGATTTTAATACAATTAAATACTGCTTGTTGTGTCACAAGGAGGTCTCTATTATAACAAGTATTTATTTAACAATTCATTTTGGTCTTTTCTATGATAATGTAAGTATACATGTCTCAATTTATAAGTTTATATTGTTTTTATGAATTAATTAGAATAAATTTCTTTCATGCATGCTTTGGAAGTACATACATAATTGAGATCATTATTCTTGTTTTCCAGGTTTTACTTGCCACATGGCTTAAGTGTAGATAAAGATGGGAATTACTGGGTCACAGATGTGGCTCTCCACCAGGTAATCTCCCATTTGACAGTGTTCAAATAGAGGCTAACAGTTAATCGTGGGCGCTCTGGAGGTGTCTGGGTCTTTCTCTGTGACTCAGTAAGTTTGTAACAAGACAGTAGCACAGCCATGTCTCAGTCAGTTTTACTTACTCTAATGGCCTCATAGACTGGGTGGTTTATAAACAATAGAAATTTGTTTCTCACAGTTTGGAAATCCGAAAGTCTAAGATCTGGGGCCAGCATCATTGGGTTCAGATGAGGGGACTCTTCCAGGCTGCATGTGGTCGCCTTCCTGTACCCTCACACGGTGAAAGAGTGAGAGCAAGCTCTTGTATCTGCTCTGAAAGGGCGCTGAGCTCATTCATGAGGGCCCCACCCTCCTGAGCTAATTACCTTCCTAAGTCCTCATGTTGGTAGTTAGGATTTCAACCTATAAATTGGAGGGGAGGCGCCCGTGCAATCTATAAGAATCCACATTGGGAAATTTCCTTTTAGCACTCAGTGCAAGAAATGCTAGTGCAGAAATAATTGAGTCACTCTTCTCCCTTGACTGGCAGAAGCTTAGGGCCAGATGTGGAGCTTCGCTGTAGCTACTGCAGGGGCCACCAACCTCCTCTGTGGCATTCTACATCCCCTTTTATCTCTTCTGTCCCTAGCCTTATTTCTATTTTATCTGTTGTATTTTATCTTCTCTTTCCTAAGCTAGTTTAATTTTTTTAATTGAGGCAAGGATCTCAATTTTATGTATTTTTAAAACATCAAACTTTTATCCTATATAAAAGTTGCATTTAAGGACCGGCAGTTAGCGTAATGGCTATGTTGCTGGACTCCCATGTTGTTGGCCGCAGTTCGAGTCCTGGACCCGATGGCTTAAACTCACACCTGGCACGTGTGCTTGCATGCCCAAGATCCCAAGAGGAGAATGGAGGAGAAGGGATTGCAGGCAGAATGCCGCCCCCCCCCCGGGGGGGGGGGTGGGGAGTGATTTCTCGCTTTCTGTCTCTCTGTCTCTCTCTTTCTTTTTGGTGAGCACACATGCCCTATAGCAAAAACCTCTCAAAGATAAAATAAAATAAAATAAAGTTATATTTAATCACAGAATAATCATAAGGGCTTTCCCCCAGAAGATAAGCTTGTCAAGTTTCATGCCCATTTTATGAAAAGGTGGCAAGAAAACCCTAGAAACATGGGGTGGGAGGATAGAATTCAGAGGATGTGATGACAAGAGTCATTGAGTTCTCTCAACAGTCTTCAGACATCATCTCAGTAAACATTTATTATTCATCCATTATCTTTGTAGCATTAGTAAGAAAGGACTAAAAGGAAGCATGGGTGAGAGTGGGACAGGGTAGACATGCCCCTCTGGGTAACTGGGTGGCCTTGTGTAATCTCTGTAGGTCTCATTGATCAAATGAAGGAACCAGAGCAGATAATTTCTAGTTCTAGAAAGTTTCGTGTACGTGAATCTCTGGGAGTGTAGACTCTAATTGCTTGTGAAAGCAGCTTTAGTCATGTGGGCATGTCAGTCATAAACACGAAAGTAAACGCTCACTCCTTTTCACAAAGGTGTTCAAACTGGATCCACAAGGCAAAGAAGGCCCTCTCTTAACTCTGGGAAGGAGCATGCAACCAGGCAGTGACCAGAATCACTTCTGCCAGCCCACCGACGTGGCTGTGGACCCGGGCACTGGCGCCATCTACGTGTCAGACGGGTACTGCAACAGTCGGATTGTGCAGTTTTCACCCGCTGGGAAGTTTGTCACACAGTGGGGCGAAGGTACCTGATAACACTGTTGAGCTTTAATTGTAATTCTTAGCCACTGTCACTAGGAACAAGAGGTTGGCCACCCTTTGCATCCTTTATGGTGTAATTGTCACCCAAAATGAGGAAAATAGGGCCTCCATATGCGTCCTTTGGCTTAGTCACATACACACCACATACAAATACACACACACACACACACACACACACACACACAGACACTCACACACACACACATCTTATAAGAGATAAAGGATGCTTTGACCAAAAAACTTTGCCCAATAGAAAAAAAAATCTGTATGTTTTAGTGTTATAAATATTTTATAGTATCTTAATGCATTTATGGATAAAGCTTATTCTTTCCCTCATCTCCCCCTTGATTACAGTTTTGTAGTGATTTACCATCGTGAAATCAGAAAATTTTTAAATTGTAGCATCGGACTTCAGATGACTTTACATATTGAAGCTGTTCTTTGTTCTGTAGAGTCTTCAGGGAGCAACCCTAAACCGGGTCAGTTCCGTGTCCCACACAGCTTAGCCCTCGTGCCTCACCTGGGCCAGTTATGTGTGGCGGACAGAGAGAACGGTCGGATCCAGTGCTTTAAAACTGACACTAAAGAATTTCTGAGAGAGATTAAGCACGAATCATTTGGAAGAAATGTGTTTGCAATTTCATATGCATCAGGTATTTCATCTTAAATGTTTTGTGTTTTGTTGTACCGTATCCTTAAAACTTGTTTGTCTTAATGTGTTCTTTCTATAACTTTTCATTCTTATTAAGGGGTTGAAGATGCTCTAAATGTCAGGTCTTGAAGTATCTCAAAACTGTTAGTACACTAGACATCATCTTCAAGTGCCACTGTTTCTTGTACAGAGATAATGAAGATCTCAAAGAATTTAATAACTGTTGGTAATGGGTTAAAAATGTGAACGTCAATATGGTTTTCCTTTTTCCTTCATTGTGATTATCTGCTCTAATTAGTTAATGGGTAATATTATGTCTTTACAGATATGTCTGATAACATCAGTATTGAAAATATTTGTTTCATATTTTTTAAGTAGTTGCCAATTTTTTAAAGATAAATATGTAATATAAGTAAGGCCTGTGTCTACACCTGGAAAAATAATCAAGAAAATCTTGAACTGTTTTTTTCATTTTCAAAATAGATTTTCTTGACTTTAAGAAAATCTTAAAAATAATTCAAACATATAAGATGCACATAAGTCACATTACAAATAATTGAGTATAAGATTTCTTTAAATAATTAATAATACACAACCAAAAATATATTTAATTTCTAAAATGTATATGTAATGTTTACAACATTTATTAAATATATCTACATTTAGAGAAATCCTTGAGCTGGTTTTTAACACCTATCGAAAGGAAAATCTGTCAAGACCATTCACTTCATAAAAGATGTGATCGGGTTCATAGTGAACAAAGCTATATCAATTTTAGAAGAAAAATAACAGCAGCAAAGATAAGAAGAAATCTGATTCCAAACAGAATCTAAGCAAAAAGAATTCTCTCTATAATATTACACATTTGATGTTTATTTTATAATGCTTTTATATTATGATATGCTTAAAACTCTCTAATCCTTACAGAATGTTGATAAAATACCTCCAGCATGATTTAATGTTAGAAATATTTTATAGTGTCTTAATTCTTGGGAACTGTAATATTCAATCATCTGATGTATTTATTTAATCAAAGCATCATTGTTTCTATGATTTTGGATAAACAGTCCCTATACAAGAAAAATAATTTTACTGTAAAGAGTATTGATGGAATGAATAGTAAAAAGATGGTCTAATTTTTTAATTAGAGAAATAAAAATATGTCTTCGATAATGTGAAATATGAGTCCAACATTTTCAAATTCCACTTTTAAAAAATTAGATTCTTCTATTTATACTGTAATTTCACTTAGTTTCTTTGACTTTCTTCACTCACTCTCTCTGACTTTCCTTGGCCTGTGGGCCAGCTATGGAAGATAACTATATATTTTTAAAAAGATCCAATACTCCAGGGCCAGCAGTTAGCGTAATGGCTATGTCGCTGGACTCCCACGTAGTCGACTGCTGTTCGCGTCCCGGACCCGGTGACTTAAACTCACGCTGTGTGTATGTGCATGCTTGCCCAAGATCCCAAGAGGAGAATGGAGGAGAAGGGATTGTGGTGTGGTCATCCCCCCTGGGGTGTGATTTCTCACTTTGTCTCTCTGTCTCTCTCTGTCTGTCTGGCGAGCGCATGCACCCTATAGCAAAAACCTCTAAAAAAAAAAAAAAAAAAAAGAAAAAAAAATATCCAATACTCCAAAATGACCTGACTTTTCCTAGTGAGATGCCTGGGATAGCTATATCTAAATGTCTGTAGAAATGAGAATATGTGAGACAAAAGCAGATTTTCAAGAGCGATAATAACTTTCATATCTAGATTGATGTCTATAGATTTATAGATCTAGGTATCACAGGCACTCCAAATAGATATAAGAAGAAATTGGGTTATTTAGGCTCAAAATTCTGGAGTATTAGATCGTCATATCAACAATATCTATATGTTCCTGATTTCAACTGGTTTTTCCTGATTTTCCTTTTGCAAGGAGGTTAGTCTTCTAACCTGTTTGCCCTGATCTGGTTAGTTGAGAGGAGGCATTAGCTGAGTATTTTATTTTCAGTTTTTGCATCCATTTGTAGGGACCAGGTCAACCCTAAATTTATTATTTGTGTAACAAACATGCGTATATTTGAAGTCCAGTCCTTATACATGTTTTTTTTAATTATGCTTTTTTTTTCATTTATTTAGTTATTTTTACACTTTTCCACATTTACTTTGCATATCTAAAAATTTTTGCTCCTACTCCATAGTTCTTGACAGTTTAATAAACAACTTTCAAAATTTCAAAATATTTACATATCATCTAAATTGTTGAAAAGCAAATGCCCAGCACACAAGTCACACATAAACCTTCTCAGTTGAGCCCTGCCTACCAAATATTCTGTGATATACCATCTGCTAGCAAAGATCAGTCACTTTTTCTGCCTTCAAAGTCTTATCTATGTTTTAAAGAACAACGACTGGGTATGTTGTCACAGGCTTGCTCTTCGCGGTGAATGGGAAGCCTTACTTTGGGGACCAGCAACCACTTATGGGATTCGTGATGAACTTTTCCAACGGAGCTATCATGGACGTCTTCACACCGATGCGCAAGGTATTCACATCCATTGCTGAGTTCCATTTTTATGCAAGTAAAACTAAAATGTGAATATTGGCATTCAATTTGTACTTTCATATTATAATTTTTAAAAACTTTCAGGAGGTGTGATAACTTACTTAAGCTGGATGGATAGGAGTATCCTATTATGACAGTTCACTTAAAGTAAGCATCCTTGTTTATTCCTAGTCAGTTTCTTTGGGTGCAAATGAACACTGTGCACATTTCAAGGCTCTTAGTGGACCTTGCACATGAGGGCGGGTTTCAATTCACTGTCGCCAGAGTGCCACCAAATATTAGTCTTTTCCTGGTTTTCTCCAAGTAGAGAAGAAAGCACTGCATATCAAATGTATATTTGTAGTTCTCTTAGACCCAACAGAAATGTCATTTGCTATTTTTGTTGCTATGACTGTACTGAGCAACACGACCTGAACATAGCACATCCTGGAACTTATCCAACTTCTAAATATTTGGTTAAGGTAGCAGACAGAAGGCTAGTCTGGGCTGCACAGATGTTTGCCACTGTTTATGCTAACAGAGCTTTTTACACACACAGTGACTGTGGTTCAGTGTGCTCGCAGCCCTCTGCTTTCCTCTGTGCTCTGTCTGCAGTGTGACTGCCACAATGATCGGAATGTTCTCGTACACAGCGTGCGTGGGCTTGTTGTTCATCAGTTTTACAAAGCAGCGGCCTGTGGGACAGCCAGTGGCATGGTGACTGGGGCAGCTGGATCCCAGATGGCCAACTGTGCAGTTCAAGTACTAGGTCCAGTGGCTTGAATATCATGCTGGGCGCGTGTGCGTGTGTGCCCAGAATCCCAAGAGAATAGAGAAGGGATTGTGGCATGGCCATCCCCAAAGGAGAGTGCTTTCTCACTCACCCTTTTCCTTTCTCTCTCTCTCTGTCTATGGTGAGTGCACACACCCTATAGCAAATTTCAAAAATGAGAATAAAATAAAATAAAAAAAAAATTCTAACTGCTTAAGAGCTATTTGTTAAGACATGTAAAGACACATGAGGATTTATTGGCTTTACTTAGACCAAAACAACTATCATAAGCCACTAGACTGTGTTACATCTCAATATTTATAATCCTTATATTATTCTTTACCATGCCAACTTTGCTAGAATAAAAAATGAATAAAGAAATAAAAACAGCTTGATGTGTTAGAAATTAACGTTTATGCTTTTCATTCCAGAGAAATGTATTGAGCGCCCTCTGTGTCAGACATTATGTTAGATACTGAGGATATCATGAAAAATGGAGTGAGACATGGTCTCTCCCTCAGTGGAGCTTTTAGCAAAAGTTACAGGATCTGAACCAAACCAAATGGAAAATTGAACTGATTCCAACACAGATTTTTTTCTTTGGGGTTCTAGTCATATACAACAAAGATCGCTCACAGAATTGGGACCAACAGATGGCATAATGGTTTCGTCGCTGGACTCCCACATAGTTGACTGCGGTCCAAGTCCTGGACCTGGTGGCTTAAAACTCATGCCTGGCGCATGTGCGTGCGTGTCCAAGATCCCAAGAGGAGAATGGAGGAGAAGGGATTGTGGTGTGGCCATCCTCCCTTGGGGGGGTGATTTCTCACTTTCTGTCTGCCTCTCACTGTCTCTCCAGCAAGCACACATGCCCTATAGCAAAAACCTCTCTTTAAAAAAAAAGTAAAGATTGTTCACAGAATTGTTTAATCTGAAAATGATAAGCAATCAAATATCAAATCATGTAATCCTTCAGAAGAGAATCGATTACATTGGTAATATATATTTTACTTCCACAGTATTTTAGGTACTTATTGTTTATTCAATCTATATTGTGCCCCTTTGAGTTAACTTCTTTTTTTTTTTCAATGAAGTTTTTGCCATAGGACACATGCACTCACTAGAGAGAGAGATAAAGAAAGAGAGAAAGAAAGTGAAAAATCACTCCCTGGAGGGATGGCCACACCACAACCCCTTCTCCACCATTCTCCTCTTAGATTTTGGGCATGCATACATACTCTCCCGGTGTGATTTTGAAGCTGCAGGGTCCAGGACTTGAACTGTGGCCAGCCATGTTGGGATGTCAGAGTCCAGCACTGTACCACCTGTTGGCCCCTGAGCTAACTTCTTATTTGTTGATAAAGAAAGTAAGATGCTTTCTTTAGCAGGTGGAGTGGTGGTTGAGGCCTGCACTCCCACATGGCCAACCATGGTTCAAGTCCCAGACCGGGCAGCTTTCTCGCTCTTTCTCTCTCTCATGAGAGAGAGATAATTAATAAATAATAAGTAATAATAATAAATAAGAGAAAATAAAATAATTCTTTATAAAATAAAGTACAATGCTTAGCTTTCTTCCAGGTCTTTCACTTTGTACTAGTAGAATGTTCGCCTTGCTTGTTCTTCTTATGATAATATTCTGTGTCAACCAGGATATTAACTTTTAATTCAAATATGCACCTAGAAATCAAAAGTAAGTGCTATGCAAGAGGCTAGGCTCTAAATAAGCCTTACTCTCATAAAAATGTGAAGAGTCCTGAATTAAAATTTCAGAAAGCATCAGCATTTGTTGAACAGTCAGAGAGATGGATGAGAACAATATGTGGGTCAATACCGTGAACTCGAAAAGAGAGTCTCACTCCCAATGAAATTTGCTTTTCTTTCCAGTAAACAAAACTTGATATTACACTGAAACATAGAAATGTATGCTGTGTTGACTCGGTGAGCTGAAATTAGTTTACGAATCTCACAGAATTTTCATTTAACTAGATTGTCTTCACAAACACTTAAGTTCAGCGGAAGGAAATGATATGGTATGTTGACTCCTCTGTAAGAAGAGACTTGCCTTTTGAGTTAAAGGTCAGGTTTTCCAGGCCGTGTCTGTGCCTCTCTGTGTAGTTGCACTCCTTACCTCCTCATGTATTTCAGCACTCCCTTCATACTGGCACATTTTTTAAAAAAGAATTTTATTTAACTTATTTATTTATTTATTTATTTTTATTTATTTATTTTTTGGGAAAGGTTTTTGCTCTAGGGCACGTGCACTCGCCAGACAGACAGAGAGAGACAGAGAGACAGAAAGCGAGAAATCACCCCCCAGGGGGGATGGTCACGCCGCAATCCCTTCTCCTCCATTCTTCTCTCGGGATCTTGGGCACGCACACACACGCACCCGGCATGAGTTTAAGCCACTGAGTCCGGGACTCGAATCACAGCTGACTACGTGGGAGTCCAGTGACATAGCCATTACGCTAACTGCTGGTCCCCTTTATTTATTTATTTTTAATTTTGGACAGAGAGGGACAGAGTAAGAGGGGCGGGGGGAGTGAGAAAGCAAGCCACTAGGTCCAGGACTCAAACGGTGATCAGCAGGTGGGAGTCCAGTGCCCTCAACCACCACGCCACCTGCCGGCCTCAATATCAGAACATCCTTTAGAAATGTTTCCATCTGGATGTCTGACCTCCAGCTTTATGTCTGTGCAGGGACACTGAGACAGTAGGAAAATGCAGATGGTTTTAGCAAATGCTTTCAAAAATCTCTGAGAGTGAAATACACAGTCACTCCCCAAACTCTTCCCCCCATCCCAGGAGGGATGCATGGTTCCTTCTCATCTGCTTTCACACACACCCTTCACAATGGCCACTTGTCACCTTTTCATTTTTGAGAGAGTTTTGCTATAGGGCGCATGTACTTGCCAGAGAGACAGAGACAGATGGACAGAAAGTGAGAAATCACCCTCCAGTGGGGATGGCCACACACACCCGAGGTGAGTTTCAAACTTCCAGGTCTGCAACTCCAACTGCGGCCCGCCATGTGGGAGTCCAGCAACTTAACCATTACACCACCTGCTGGTCCCCATTGGTCATCTTTGTTCTACTGAACAGTTCATGTAGAAAAGGAAAGGAATGATCTTCGGCCCCGCTGTAAAAACAAAAGCAAACACAGTAAACCAAGATTCTTGTTTTTTCTCTTACCTTCACAAGAGCAATTAAAACTGCAATATTAGAAAATAGTTTAGCTGAAAAGTTCACATAAGTTAAATGACTTGTTCAAAGCCACACAGTAAGTAGTACACTGGGATCTCAAACCCAAGTTTTTCTGGCTCTAAGTGGGCTTTAGCCTTTCAATTCCTGAGGTTCATATTGGTAAGCCAAGGGCTATATTAAATCACAGCATCAATATGGTACAGCTTCTTCAAACTATTTTACCTAATATTTAAATATTATTATTTTGTTAAATCAAATGTAGTCCTGATAAGAGAACACAAATTTCTTATGAAATAAGATACAAGACTTTGAGAGCTGATTGCCCTGGACGCTGTCACCAGGTATCCCAGGAGGATGCTCTCGTTCTTTTCTATGGTCAGTTTTATTTTGTTCTCTACTTGAAGAGAAGAGTGTAAACCCTGTTAGATCTTGCACTCTGAAATCTTGAAGCTTAATACTTAAGTTTAACAACATAATTTTCTGATTCAAATGGTTCATTAAAAAGATTACAGTTGAGAAGCCAGCAGGTGGCATAGAAGTTATGGCAGCTGGATTTCCACATAGCCAACTGCGCAGTTTGAGTGCCAGACCCAGCGGTTTGAAAACATGCCTGGTGTGTGTGTGCATGCCCAGCACTCTGAGAGGAGAATGGAAGAGAAGGGACTGCAGCATGGACATCCCCCTGAGAGTGATTTCTCATTTTCCCTCTCTATCTTTCTTTCTCTCTCTCTCCAGTAAGTACTCGTACCCTATAGCAAAACTTAAAAAAGGAGAGAAGGAAAGAGAGAAAGAAAGAAAGAAAGAAAGAAAGAAAGAAAGAAAGAAAGAAAGAAAGAAAGAAAGAGACAGAAAAAGAGAAATTACAATAGAGTACCTCTGGTAGAAACAGGAATAGAGGTCCCAAAGTCCCACCCACTAAACCTCCCCTGAATCCCTACAGCAGCCCCAAAGTATTTCCAGATCTACTCCAACAGAACACTTGACTCTATGGGTAAATTTGAGCACCACTGAAAGATGTTTATTA